AAGTAGACGTACATAGCATGTCAGAGATTAGAGGGATTGTGGGAAGTGAGTCCTCTTTCCTTAAATAGTTCCTTTGAGAGTGGGAGAGTTTTACTACCCAGAGAAACTTTACTGCAACTGCCATCTTAGAGTGAGAAAAGGCTGTAGCTTACACCCCACAGAAAAGATCCTAGCATATTTCTCCAAAGCAGCAACATTTTTTTCCCCTGTAAGATTCATTAGATGACCTCAGTCTTTTTACTTTCTTCCATAGGAAGTATTTGTATCTCTTATTTTCTTCATCTTCCACAAGATCTTTATTTTAAGAGATTGTTCTTTCCCAGTCCGCATTGTACATGGCAAACTTAACGTTACTTGATAATTTAGGGCCTGGTTTTCATGGGGTAGCTTGCACCACTTACCACTGCATTGTTAACAAGATATTTGCAGTGACTAAAAGGCTGTCATGCCAATTATGATGTTAACATAAAATCTTATCTACAGCTCTAAGACTCACAATTCAGCTACATCTCACTCACATAATAGATGAAATTGTACTTGTAGGGATAGCAAGATAGTGAGACTTGCAAGCCAAGATAGTTTGCTCTGCTACTCAGCATTTTGGACTCTACAGGACTAATTCATTAATCAGCAGGTCTTTCTGATTATAATCTAGGAGGGGTTAACTCAACTCTAATAACTGCTTAACTAGTTGCTTTATGCACCATCATTTTTACGTACACAATACAATTTTTTAAGCTTAAGAGACACCTTATCCCACAACCAACCTAGATATACCTGAGGAATATGCAAAAGGAAAGCCTTTCTTGGATTAAAAGTTAAAGTTTTATTTTTCATTTTCACATTTGTGTTTTAATTAAGAAAACAGCATTTTCATAGAAGGCTGTAATCATATGCCGCTGTGTCATACCACTTTAAAAAAAATTAAATTATTACATTGTTGCCACATAAATGCATGGTGGTTCTATACCAAGACACTTACTATTCTTGAAATGAGGAATTGATAGTCTGAAATAGGAATAGTGCAAAAAAGAAAGGCAATACCTAGTGTTTGTATAACCTGGTGAACTTTGAGCTACTTTTTTCTTTTTTGTGGGGGGTGGTTTTAAGTTTTAAAAAAGTTATTATTGGGTGAGTTAACTGAGACTCCAAAGGATAAATTCAAGCATGGCTGGATCCAGAAACTCAAATAATAAATCCATTCAAGATGTCTCCCTTCCCAATTCCCTCCAGTCTCAAGTCCCTTTAAAGACTTCGATTTTTTTTTTAGACTTGGCTAAGTTAATAGATGAAACTGTACTTGTAGGGATAGGAAGATAGTGCTATCCCTATATGCAGTTACATTGCACAAAATATTGCAAGTCCAGGCTTATTGCTCGCCCTCTCATTGGTAACATATTCCATCAGAAAGAGGATATTGTCTTTGTGCCATTTTTAACACATACATCATCTAACAGAATTATTCCTATGTAATATTTAATAAAGGTATATTTAACCTCAGTTTTATAAGTAGGGAAACAACCCAAGAGAATTTAATTGACTTGTTGATAGTGAGTTCTAAAACATAGGAATTTTTAACTCCCTCACCAATTGTTTTCAATCCCAATACATATTGCTAATAGCACTATCAATCCAAATCTGTAAAAATATCTCCCAATTAATTAGCTAGCTAGGCTATTTAACTAGACTTTAATGTCATCCCATGCAAAACAATGCAGCAGGGCTGGGATGGGGGAAGACTTCTCCAGTTAATTAACCAAAAGAGACTAAAACTAACTATAATTTAGTAATCACTCTGCCTAAAAACTTGCAGAGTTTGGGGTAATACTTAAAATAACACAAATACAATCTCTCTTTTCTATTTAAAACTGTGCAGAAAGTTGAGGTAGTAAGAGAAAAAAATTTTCTATTTATGACTAAACACACATCACCCTATCAGAACTAAGCCTTAACAGATCTTCAGTTATCTAATTTTAGGCTAGGATTCCTTTCTCTGGGCCATAAAGTTTTGTTGTTGTCGTTGTTGTTGTTGTTCTTGGGAACTTTTTTCTCATTTTTTGATGGCCACTTAGCATTCAATTTTGGAAATTAAAGTGAATTTAAAGGAAAATTTTGTTTAAAATTTTATACAGACCTCCTTGAAATTCCTTAGTCTATTAACGTACCAAATTTATAATTTACTTGTTTAATGTTTCAAAATTAACACTGATAATAATCCACATACTTAAGCTGGAGTCTACTTTATCACAGTAATGCAAATGGTTATTTGGACAACATTTTCACCAATTCCTCTAGTAGCTTTGAAAAAAGCATAATTTTTTATAAACATTCTTTTCTGTATTTACCTATTCTTCTATAAATGTTTAAGTTAAAGAAAATAAATGCTCTTATTTTCTTTAAAACAGTACAAATGAATGTTACGCTGATTTCAGCACTGATGAGTAACTATTTAAAATGAGTGGGGCAAAACTTGCAACTCAAATCTTACAATCTCCCGGTAACTGCATTTCCACCTGCTATGGGAAATATCGATGTGGTCATTTTTAACATTGTTCAAGTAAACATTTAATGTTTTTCTATTACTTCCATTTTCATTTTCCTCCATATTTTGATTCCATATTATGGTTATGTTGAAATGAGGGACTATAGTGTCTTTCTATCAGTTTAGCATACAAAAGGAAAACATAAATAAATTTGACCTTCACAAAACGTTTTGTAACCTACGTACTTCAGAGGTGGGTGATATGACCCTTGATTTTTTTTATAATGTCATAGAAATATAAGCAGCTTACCACTTTTTACCATGGCATTCTCTACAACAAGAAGTAGTAAAAGAATATGACATTCCACATATGACATACGTGCTTAGAATGGCTTAGTGTGGCTCCTAACATAGTTAGCTTTCCATGAATACTAGTTTTTATTTATTCGCCTTTTCCTTCCTTTCTCTTCCCCGCTGAACAGTAGAATTCAAATATTTCTAGGGCGCTTAGTGTAGTTCAAAATTTGGACACATGCACTTTGTTGACATTTTATAACTGGACTATGGGAGATACAATGAAATAGTGGCAAAAGGACTGGTCTAGTAGTCAGAATTTCTCAGTTACTAACCTTGAGAAATCATTCAACATCTCTCTGCCTTAATTTTTAATAAAATAGTAATAATATTTGCCTAATCTGCATCAATAAGACAGATCCCTACTCTCTGACAAGTATAAGTACGAGATATCATTATTACTATGCCCTATAAAATACATGCAAAATTAGCATTTGTGTTTGTAAATATAGATTTTAATAGGAGTAAAATATTTGGCATTATAATTGATGTATAAAACCATCTCTAAAACATATGTTCTTCAGTATATGGTTATGGTAAATATAGTTTTATACTTTATCCCCATGAGAATACTAATACCCTTGAAAAGAGTATCCATCTCCTTTTTTAAGGGTAGTTCTTATAAGAACTAGACATTAAATAAAGGGGAATAGGGTATATTAAGGAATTGATTTCCTCAAACAGGGTAAAATGCAAGTGAGAGAGGTTGATACTCCATTATGATACCATTTGCAAAGAGAAAATGACACGTACTGGTCTTTGTTTTGCTTGAAGTATGTCAGAAATTTTTTAGGGCTAATAAGGCCAAGTGGTTATTATTTTCAATAAACCTTCATTTTTTAGAAAAGGTGCCACATTATAAAAATAAGGACCAGATCCTTCTTAAAAATGAATCTAAAATAATGCTTTTCTCTAGACAAAAAGGAGTCAAGTGCTCTATGATTTTATTATCTGCCCCTGTCTTGCAGTGGTCTACTTTTCCTGCTCTCTGATTAGAAGCATCCTATTTATATTACTGTACTAATAACTGGACCTCAGACTAACCTCACTACTGTTACTTATCTGATTTGAAAATGGCACATTCTAAATATGTTCCCACAACTGAAGTAGAGTTCATCCAATTAATTGCATATTTAATTTAGATTGAACCTAAGACTGAAGTGGAGCATTAATTGACACATTTTTTTTCTCTCTCATTCAGGTTAGGAAAACATGACCTTTTAGATATGATCTTACTTGGTGCCAAATAATATAATGCCCATTTGAAAATTAGAAACACATCACTAATTAAGCAACTTAAGGAAAACATAACATTTAATACTTAGCTGGAGAAATCACTTATAAAATATGGCCGTTTGTTCACGAATAAGTGAACTACCCCAAAAGAAAGGTCTGAGAGCTCACAGTATGCCTATGATGAAACCTATTAGTTCTCAAGGAAATCCCCTTGTTTATGTAAGTCAATAAGTGGTGAGAAAATACTTGGAAGAAAACATGAGCTCTAGGGAGAAAAATAACTTTTTCTAAACATAATGTAAACCTTCAAAAACATTACAGACAGGTTCCTTGGTAGTTTTGTAAAAAAAATAAATAGTGAGAAGTTACTTTTAACTAACCATCCTGTTAGGAAAGGAAATCTCATCCTGAAAGGAAATTGCAATCATTAACAAAGATTTTTGATTCAGAGAAAACAGGGTGGATCTTTACTCATGTTTTAGACTGTGAAGGAGGGAAAAAAAAACCTTTCTAAATGCCTTGCTTATTAAGCTAGTCATGCATTTCACTGCATGTTGTAAAGCAGTAAAACATGCACAAGGGGCTCATAAGCATATTTTAGAGTTAGGGAATATCATTTACACCATTCTTATATTGTCAATATCACCCCTAGAGAATAAGATTAAGCTTTAAATTACTATAAATCTACAGTTTTGCTCACCTTTGTATAATTTCGTTTTTAATAGAACCGATGAACATATGATTAAGGGATAAGCTTAATAAAATAATACATTTCTTGCACACATATTTAGTCAAATCTTGAATATATAGAGCATAGCAAAATACTCTAAAGCCAGTTTGTGGTTTTTAGTGAAGTTCATTGAGTAGAATTTGGATTTTCTTTGTTGGAATAAAATTTTGACCAGGTTTTATTGTTTTTTCTGTGCAGCCTGAACACTGATGCCGGAACTTCAACTGATCATAGGCACGAATAGGGTGCTGTAGCAGTTACCTGCTTATCTAGTGTTGTAATTCTTTAAAATTCCTACTCAAATTCTTAAAATACGGAGCCTTCAATTACTATTTGTTTATTACTGATAATTAGAACGTTGCACATACAGGAAAAATGTGCTAGAGAATGGGCTTCACAAGTTTTTAGGGGATAATCATAATGATGATTGAACATGATACTTTACACTTCTCTAACCCCTTTCTTCCATGGAGTTCATAGTGCTTCATAAACGTTATCACATTAATCCACACAGCATCCTAGTGGGGTAAGTAGGTGGAAGAAATTTTAAGACATAGAAGATGCGATTTCTAAATGGTGTGACAGAAATTAAAACACAGGCACACCCACTTTAAGCTGTAATTGCTATGAAATAGCTTTCTCTTTGGCTGACCTGGAATTTAACAGGAATTAATGTGAGGAGGTAATTCATTTGTGCAAATGATCAATATTTGTTATCTTTGCTGTGGAAATCACCTTTCGAAAAGAAACACATTTCCTGTTGTGTTCTCTGAGGAAATATAGAGAGCTCTAGTTTGTAGATTTTACCATACCTAGTTCTTTCTTTGATCTGTTGATAGTGGAGCAAGTCATTGAATACCTTTCTACTAGCACATTCCTTATCTGTAAAGAAGGCAATGATAAAAACACAGACTCAAGCTACTAAAAATACCCCTTTTATTCTTTTTTGCTCTCTTCCCAGCTCCAATCCAGGTTCCTCTATTATTAAGCTATTAACAAACCAACGACTGAAAAATCTATACACATAAGAAAGGAGAAAAGCGGAGATGATGGGTCGGTCACATCATGGATATTTTCCACTGCTCACCCTCCGGTCTAGACATGGCTTGATGCCTAAGATGTTACAGTGATTAGAACCAAATGGGTCATTTGGCTTGAATTGCCCAGGAAATGGCCTCAGATATTTTTAACTGTTTACTTAATGGAGACCTGGCCATCATCATTATTTTCATGTCTCCTACGAATCTAATAGAGCAGTGTTCCAATGTGGTAAATGGTAGTCCAGTGACCAAAAAGATATATTAATTCTTCTTCTAAAGTACCCTCTTTACACAGAGCAAAAACTAATCCATTATGTTGTTTTTACATCTGCCCTAGAATTAAGTCATGTTGTGACAGAAGCACCACTCATCTTGTGCATAAGGCCAACTGAGTTTTTATCCATTCTCCAATAATCAGTTTCCTGTGCCAATGCATGCAATTTCTGCTGGAATGGCCACCTACCCTACACATTTAAAAAATATTACATTAATTCATATCAATGTGACATTCCAATCATTCCATGCTCTGAAGAACTTTTTTTTTCTAAGGCTTCTGGTGCCTCCTACATATTGTAGAAGGTCGACTTGTGTAGAGTAGATATGTTGCTTTAACCTAATTCAGTGAAATAATGCCAAATTAGAAATAGTCATGCAGATGGACAAGGCAAAGACACACTTTTAGAATTCTATATCAGATATCTGAATTGAATAACAAAGAGGTGTGACTTCAAAAGACATCCAGAAATCTCTCATTATTTGATAGTCAAACAGCATATATTGAATGATAAGGGAAACTGAATAACATTTTCAAATTAACTAAGTTACCTAAAAATAAACTAATATCTTTCTTTTTTCTACAAATAGCTATGATTGATGTTGGTTGAGCTGTAAGGAATCCTCATATGTTTTCTTCTGGCCTTTTCCCACATATCTGCCTTCTTTATGACACCTGATTTTAGCTTATTCTTTTTCATAAGCTTCAGATACACACCACAGAAGGCAAATCTCATGCTTACCTGAGTTTGGAACAGCCAGATGTGGCCCTTTAAAGATAACTTAACTGATGAGCAGAGGTGCATCTCCCATCTCCCATATGGAGGAGGACACACCAGACTCCCCTGGCATGGGGTATGCCCATGTTAGGCAGTGCTGTGCTAAGGGAAGGACTGTGTGGGTCCTTCGCTTTTATTTTTAAAATGATCACCTTTGTGTGTATCAAATTCCCCATTTTACTTATCTGATAAATCTTAAAGCAATAAAATCTGTCAGCTCTCCCCAAATGTCACTGTGTGTCACTCCTTGTAAGTTCCCAAGCTCCCTAACATTCCTCTGGAGAGGCCTTGTTCATTGCTCTTCCTGATCTTTAATCTTGTTTACATCCAGAATGCATATTAGATCATCTGTGTTTGGAGCTCAAGTACAGACCCTTTTAAAAACATGAAACATTCAATTACTAATTAGCTGTTTCCTGTTCCTAATGAAGTGAGCATGCTGGGTTTGGATTAAAATTCAGTGACTGCTCTCCTCTGTTTATGGTTCCAGATGTTTGTGTTTTATCTAGGAGTTTACTTTGACAGCTACTACTAAATGATAAATCACTCATATTATAGCTGAAATGCATTTTGAAATTGAAATGTGACAACTTTGAGATTGCTCCAAGGATCTGTGTCAGTTAGCAGGTCAATATTGGCTCCTTCCTTAGGATCACTCAGTATTGGCACATGTAAAGCAGTAACAGAATCTGTGTCAACATTATACAGCATGCTACACAAGAGTCTATTTTGCTACTATCCTCTAAATCAGGAGAAAAAAAGTTTTACTACTATGAAATCTCAACTTACTGTATTCTAAGTAGAAAAATTGCTACAAATACTATCTTCTTACTGGCCTAGTTTTTCTGTGGATTTCTGAGCTGATGTGGAAACAGTTCCTGATAGGCCTTAAAAATTGGCACATTTAATGAAGGGTGTGGGCAAAGATGTTTGTCTTTTTTAATAAAGACAAAAATTAAATATAATGAAGGAGGGAGATTTTTCAGAAACTGCCTTTTTCTAAAGGACAAATAGTGATTGCTTTTTTGCCATTTGTTACTATGTTTATGGACCTTTCTCACAGGATATTATTTTGTTTTACCATTGCTTTCAAATTTGTAATGTTCACAATTTGTACTGCATGATTTAAGTTTTAACTATATTGTATAAATTTTCAACTCTGGTAAAATGAATGTCTGCCATTTGATGTTGAGGAGCTTTCCTTTGACATTTATGCTATATTTACAGCGGATGAGATAGACTGGAAAACTGAGCCACTACCTGGTGAATTTGATCAGAATAAATATTCTCAGGGGAGAGGGTATAGCTCAGTGGTAGAGCACGTGCTTAGCGTGCACGAAGTCCTGGGTTCAATCCCTAGTACCTCCAATAAATCTAATGCCTCCCCCACTAAAAACCAGAATAAATATGCTCAGACACCACAAAGAAGTCTGAGTAATTCTCTGGGATGACAGACTATTAGACAGATTCCAAAAATTTTAGCTTTGTTTTCTTCTTCCCTGAAAAAGTTCAGATGACTTCCATGGGCTTTTAGGCAAAATGCCTGGTTGCTTGCTAATAAAGTCTGACCCTCCAGATAGTCTGACTGACATAGAATTAAATTATTTTATTCTTCAATTACCTTACAACATCTTTATTTTTGGTTCTGAATATTATCTGGAAAACTCCACTGACTTGCCACGATATCTCTGACAAAGAAAAAAATAAATATTCTGAAGATTTTATACAGTAAAAGAGCATATTTTCCTGCTGACAATGCTAAGCTTTGACTAGACTGATTTAATGTTTTAGACTAGGCATATCAGGCCAACAATGATAATGTACTCTCCTTTATATGTGAAGATGATGCATTTGACTCACAAACATAGTCTTTAAGTGTTTCTTAGGATGGGATGATGGATTTGTACCAATCATCTACACTTTCTTCCCTTGTTCTGCTTTTGTCCCCAAAAGCCAATTTTTATGAAGTAGCTGGATAGAGACTTGGGCTATGGAAAAGAGGAAAGTTAGACAAAAAGACGTGGAATTGTTTTTTTGAAAGTTGTTTCTGACTGTAATTTTTACCGACACCATCAAATATTTTCTAACTCTAGGATGGTATGAACTCTTCTGATTATCAGCATTTAAATCGATACAGGTTTGACTAAACACTGTGGCTAAAATGATATTCAGAACTCGTCTCACTTCGTGCAGTATACACAGTCTCAAAGTTAACCTGAGCAGAGAAAACAAAATATTTCATCAAAGCTATCATCACCTTAGTTCATAACCAGACACCCCCTTTCCCCTGTTTCAGTATACCACAGGGATCTCAAACACACGATTCTGTACAAATGGAAAAATAACACAGGTAACTATAGGCATCATAGTTTATGAAACGAGTCTTCCCAGTCTTTGATGGAAAGAAGTGCTATGGAAAGAAGAACGGAAGCTGTAGCATGCAATTTGAAGGATCTTGGAAAACTGACACAGGAACATAGAGAAATGTTGAGAAATTTTAAATTTTACCAATATTAAATCAAGCCTGTTACAACAAATCATTTAAGGTCCTGAAGATAGAAGTTTAGTATTTTTAAGCACGTGTTAGAATTATTCCTCAGAAAAACTAACTTGTTTTCTTTTTTTTAAAGGAGGTAACTATTACTGTTTAGCAATGGCACAACAGTTTTATTCGGCCTGAAAGGTCCTCGCTGGCTTTACATAAATGAAGATGCTTGTGATTCCAGTTTATCTCTGAAACTATTCAACATGGAGTTATTTCAATTGTGTTTATCAGCAAAGCTTTGTTTACTGAAGCAGCTATTCAGTCTCTATTACATTAAATAAACGTGTGTACATTTTAAAAGCAATGATGTAAACTTTGTTTTTGCATTGATGATTGACTGGTTTAAGAATATGAGCTAAACCCTCATGGCTAAAGTAACTTGACCATATTTGATGCTTTTCTATGCTCACTTCAGCTTGGCTTTTTGTCTCTTAAGAAAAAAAATGCGGTAGTGTGTTAGAGATTAGAAACATATGTATGGTTTCTCTGTTCTACCATATATTAAGTTAAAGTACACTTTCTTTGTTAAAAATGTACTTGCTAAATTTCAGTAAATAAAAGCATTTTGACTTTGTCAACTGTACTGAGTTTTTATGTTAAAATTGTCAACTGCCATTATTGAAGTAGAGTCATAGTGCAGATAAAAATATAGGAACTAGGAAGGTGTTTGCAAAGCTTCCTCAGGTTTGGTTATTTCTAAACAAATAGGACCATACATCTTACTTCATTTCACCTATTTAAACAGGCCAATATTCTTGTCTCCAATTGCTCTTATTGAATCACACCAGATTGCCTTTTCCTGGATGTGTGTGCTTAAGTAAACCTGCTTCCAGGAGGAAGGATTGTTTTAGGAAGCAGAAAGAGTGTGGTGAATCAAGAACTGGAAAATATTTTCTGATTATCTATTATTCTAAAAAGTTTCTTCCACTTTCAGTGGAGAAAAAAAAAAACAAAGAGCATACATCTATTCAGATCCAAAGAAATTCCAGGTCTCCCTGTAGATCCAAATATTCTTTGTATGCTAATGAAAAACCAAGGCAACCAAAAAGCCTAATGATAAACCAAAACCATAGTCCTGCCTTATAGTTTATCTAATCTGTCTTCACCTTCTCCTTGGATCATTTCCACTAAAATCCTGGGGCTCACCCACTTCTGGATCACTAAGGAACCCTCAGTTTTTTCTTGTATACTGCCACTTACACTCTTCACTCTTTCTTGTAAAAGGTGTGTTACAGATCCCACAGTGCTTCTAACTGAACAGCCAAAGTTTCTAGGTCTTCTAGTTGGGAACCAGGTTGCTTACTTCCACAAATATTTCCTCTCCCCGTCACTTCATCACCATCCTCATTTATAGAATTTTTAAGAATCCTGAAAAGACTACAAGCTCTTCCTCTGCTCTAGAGGAGAAAGAGCACAAAGGATTTTTGTTGGTTAAGCAGGACTGCTCTGGTAGTATGCCCTACCCTCTCCATAACACAATAAGCAGGTACCAAATACTTAATTCTGTAATATTCAGGGTTGCATTTTTTAAAGCTTCATGTAATGACCAGAGGAAGTCTGTGCCATGAGCTGCCCATCTCTCAGGGATCCAGGTGCCCCATACTGTCTGTGGTTTAGCCTCATTTGGTCAGCAGTTATCCACAATGGCTTAACAGTGATGGGGGTGATTTGATTCTGGGTTGGGTAGATGACCGTGACTTATTTGGAAGTGGAGCAACTTTACGAATCTCTTGGTTATTTGGAGCCCACTTAATAGACCCATCTGGAAAGATTGAGCCAGGAAAGAGCCAAAAGTGAAACCCACTCTGCACCTCCATGTGTCCTAGGATAGGATTGCTTGCCATTTCAATACAAACCCTTGACCGCCCTTCTAAATGTTCATCCTCACCACTTCTTTCCTCCTCCAACAATATAAGAACTATAGCCTTAAGAAAAGAAGCTGGGTATAGGATAGAAATTCCTTCATTGCAGGGCAGTGATTTTCACTGTATGTCATTTCTTTTTCAGGTATAAACCTTCCTCTAGGGTTGGGAGAATCAGTGTTACATCATTCTCCTCACACTCTGGAGAGCATACAGTTTCCATTCACCCTGAGACTGGCTAGAGGACCTGGATCTGTTTCATACAAACTTTAAGGACTCTGACCTCAAGTTCACTGCTTGTAGAGTAATGATGGGAGAGCACAACTGGTATCACCTCCACATACTCAAGTACTGTCATCTATAATTACAATCTTAGCATAAGAGTCTTCCCATATCTTTCAAAACACTTAACCTTTGGGGGGTCCATTTGTTGTCACTCTTGCCAACTAACTGATGCACGTATAAATGAACCCCAAAGGATTGGGTCATGAAGGCCCCCTCCACCAGCAAACACCAACATTGTGCCTTCTTACTCAAGGAAGTATGTCTCTGTGGCTAGCATTCCAAAAATGACTCACAATAGAATGACAGATTAGAGAATGAGGGGGAGGGTCTTTGAAAACCATCAATTGTTTGATATTGCAAAGATAGGCACATGATTATTATTTGAACAATTATATTGCCAAGGAGCTACCTTTTTATTAGAAAGATCAAAACTGATATTAAACCAAAATTTGGTCACTTCAAAATTAGAAAGGTCAAAACTAATATTGAACCCAAATTTGGCCACTTCAACTTGAACTTGATGAACTAAAACCATCCTCAATCACACAGAGCTAGTGACTCATTTAAAATGATAGAAATCGGTCAGACATTACAGGTAATGGAAAATGAATCAGCATAGTTTCATTCCTCTTTGCACTCACGTGTGTGCATGTGTGCACAAACACGTCTGCTTTTGTCAATGAATTATCAAAATCAGATTCAGATATTTAAAAAAATTCCACCTGATTCAACTATCTCTTAAAATATATGAGCAGCTCAATTATGAAACATAAAAAGAAATTCATGTATAAAGGTAGCTGGTGATCATTGGGAAGGCTGGTAGTCATGTCAAATACGAAATGCCTAACTGTTGATGATAATTCTGAATCTCACATCTTTAAAACCATGAAGTCCCCTCTCCCAGCCTCACACTGGCCATGTAGTATTTCTTCTTTTTTTTCACCTTATCTAAGTATATTGCAATACTTCTCTAAAGTTTCTAGTTTTAAACTAAATGGTAGTAGAACTGAAAATACAGACATGTGATCCTGCTTTAAGTCCTGATGCACTAAAAGTACAGGAGGCAGAAATTCCAGGAAGGCAAATGTGATTATTTAGCAATAGTAAGGCTGCCTGGGAGAGCATGCATATTTATTAAATCTTTTTCATTTTTAGTAAACATCTTTGAACTGGATCTTTCTATGTCCTATCGACAACTTCTCTCACTTCTTTGAATCAGAGAGCTATGGTGACCAGTATACACTACAATAAGCATTAGTTGAACTCAACTAATGAAATTTTCAGTCCATGCCATGATAATTCATTATATTATGATGGGGGAAATATTTCTTCATCTTTGGATGACTTTTTAAAAAACAAGTTAAACCCAAAATACTTTGGGTAAAATTTAACTATGTTAGAGCTTGACTCCTGGATTGCCATGCCATTTGTAATTAGCAGGATGTGAAGATCTTTGAAATTCCAAAGCAATAAGAACATACCCCAAAAATCTATCTTAATTAGTCAAAGGGAAGAATTAAAATTTAAATAAAATACTTAGGTGTAATTCAATGTCTAATATTGAAAATAATTTAAAAAAAATAAAATTCCAACAGAGTTGAGGCAACAGGGTTTACATGATATATAATTAGAAATCACTATAAATGCTAAATAACTAAATGTCAATACCGTGATACAAAGGCTAATGGAAAAAGAACATATTATAAGCAAGAATAATAGGCATGCCCTATGAAACTTCAATAGAACTCTAAAGAACAAGTAGGACTGAGGGGGGAAGAGTGAAGATAAGAGATTAGCATCTGCTAAATCAGAGAATAAGAAATTAGAGTGGTATGTACTGTTCAGAGAACAGAGAGGAATCCACTAAAAGCAAGCACAGAATTCTTGTCCAGCCCTAGTGGGAGATAAGGTTTGATAATTAAGATGAGACTAAGTTATAGAGCACCTTGAATAGGTAGCAATGAACCTAGTTGTGAGATTAATCTGAGAGTAGTGTTGGATGGATTGAATGGAGATGATATAGGAAGAGAGACAGTTACATGACATAAAATAACACGTTCACATTTTCCTCTACATCTTTCTAATTTAAAAGCAGTATTTGTTGTAATTAAGTATGATATTATCAATTTTTACAGATGTTTAAAATCCTAGTTAACTATGAAAATGTGAGGTAGTCTAGATCAATCAATGTGAAGCAAATGTTCTTGGCACTTTTCCCCGTCAATGTGCATAGGCTTTGGAACCAAGTAAATACATTTGAAACCTGACTCTATCTCTGTGACATCAGACAAAATATTTAATAATTCTGAGTTTTCATTTGCTTGTCTGAAATGGAGATAATCATGGGATTGGCATGAGGCTTAAAATTATTTAAATAATTTAGACAATGCCTCACACCCAATAAATGGTAGCTTTTATCGCCATTATTAGTGGGTGAGAGTATACTGAGTTATTTTTTGTTGTATTCATCTTCACTAGACTAGAGATCATCTATACTCTGTAATTCCCCAATTATCTATCAGTGCTCTCAATAAAATGCTGAATGAATGAGCTAATGCATTTATTGAGCACTTAGCACAGCACCTGGCACACAGTACTCATTCTTTTAATGTTTGTTTTTTTTAAGTGTGAAGGAATGATTGACTGTTTTTACCACCTTGATATGCATTCCAGTTGAAGCTAAGATGGACTGCTACAAATACACAGTAAACTCCAATTGTTTCTTCTTCTGCTCAAAACAAGTTTTTTTTTCTGGAACTCATAAAAAAATTGTTATTCATTTACCTCTTAGATTTAGCTAAAATCAGAGTTCTCAGTTGCAGCCAAAATTAGAAAGCAAGTGATGTCGGTGGAGGGATTGAGAAGAAGAAATTTTCATTTGCACTCCAATTTTTAGAAGGAAAATATTGAGGAGCAGAGATTTTTTCTATCAAATATTTCCAGTCATTCCTGTCTTACAGGATGCTGGAGTTTTTTTTAAAAGTTTTCTGACTTGGGCTAAGATTATTTTAATATCATAACATAAGATGCCCTATGGAAGGCTTTGTTTTTCTTCTTGTTGAGACTAACTCTTAGGGTTCCTCAGTAAAATAAATACAGAGTATAAACCATCCTTCTGAATTCCAAGTTGT